GTCCTCCCCAATCTCTGGCCCTTTCAATCCTTCTGCCCCCTCTCCACAGTGATCCTTGGGCCTTGGCTTGAGGGCTCACTTGTAACCTTAAAAAAAAAAAACCTTTCTTAATGTGACTCTTAAAAAAAAAAACTTAAACCAAATATGCAGTTTTACCTTACATTTCTGTTGGACAGCTTGAAGCTACACTGATACATGACTGAATTTTGTCAACCGTTTGTCCTCATGGAGGCTGGAAGCCAGTGCTCTGAAACAATGTGACCCTTCCCTTCCATTCCCCTGGGACAGTGATCACAGCTGCATCGTTCTCAGGGGCATCAGAAACAGCATTTCCTGTCCAAGCCATGAGGTATTACAGCCTCATTTAGGATTCTACATCTAGTGTCGGTTATAGTAAAGACGTCACGGACCTGTTGTGGGCATTGTCACAATTGTTATCCATGAAGATCCTACAGGTCCCCAAGGCCCCTTTCCTGTGAAGGCTCTTCACGAAGTTGCCTTCTCTGTCCTACTTCACAGGATCTTTCTTCCCTTCAGCAACAGTGGTAAGATGCAAACCACACACGTCATCTGCTAGTGACAGCCTCACAGTGAAGTGTCATGTCTTCTCAGACACACTGTGGAATTCTCGTGGCAGGAGCCCCGTGCTTCACATAATTGGTCTTAGTATCTGTCAGACCATCTCAGGGACATCATTGAACAAAATACTTGTTATCAATACAGATCTCTGAAGTAGGCAGGGAAGCAACTGTGGTCCTTGCCTGTAGATACAGAACTACTGCTCAGTGACTAGCATGAAGGTCTGTAGATGGTTTGCTGTCACGTGGGAGCAGAAGCCCCTCTGCCTACTCTCTGTTCTTTATTCCAGGCTCTGCCACATATGTAAGATGGTGTCTTAGGGTTTCTATTGCTGTGAAGAGACACCATGACCACGGCAACTCTTATAAAGGAAAACATGTAATTGGGGCTCGCTTACAGTTCCAGAGGTTCAGCCCGTTATGATCATGATGGGAGCGTGGCGGCGTGCAGGCAGATGTGGTGCCGGAGCTGAGAGCGCTGCATCTTGCAGAGAACAGGAAGTCGACTGACTGTCACACTGAGGGAAGCTTGGGAAGAGACCACAAAGCCCGCCCCCACAGTGACACACTTCCTCCAACAAGGCCACACCTAATAGTGCCACTCTTTCTGGGGGCTAGGGACACCATTTTCTATCAAACTACCACAGACGGTGTATAATTTTCTAGGGCTACCAAAAATAAATAAAAAACAGGTGTGAACTCATGGTTCTGATGGATGGATAACAGAAACTGAGGTGTCAACATAGCATTCGTCCTCTGAAACCTAGGGCAAGCAATGCCTTACTCAGCTTACCTGAGGTGATGACCTGTTTTCAATTATGATCATGTTCTGGTGGTTAGGAGCAGAATCTGTTTGGGGTGAGCATGAGTCAGCTCCTAACAGAGGGTAAACATAAGGAAGCACTGTCAGGATTCTATGATTTGCTTCAAGGATTACAGGAGAGTGAGAAAGAAACTAGAGAGGAGTGAGTCTTTGTCAGTCTGTCTGTCTATCATCTGATGGGGAAGTCCTGTGTATATGTCAATAAAGCACTGTTGGCCAATAGGGAAGCAAGATAGGTGGGACTAGGAGTCGAGGGGGATTCTGGGAAGAAGAAACACAGGGAGTCACGATGTAGCTGCCATAGGGGTAAGAAGTCCAGACCCTTTTCTCTGGTAAGAGAAATACTTAGATTAACAATTATGGGTTAAATACTTAAGTCAGAGCTAGCCAGTAAGAAACAAGCAAGGCCAACAGCTTCATAATTAATACAGCGTCTTGTGTGTTATTTGGGGATTACAACGCGGCAGAGCCCAAGCGACTGCTGGGGAAAAACCAAAGCGGCTGGGGGGGGGAAGGCTTCACTCAACGATCATCTATTTTCTATCCTGGCTGCAGTTTTCCCTCCCTCCTCTCCCCCCACCCTGTTCCCACTCTGCTAAAGACGAGTCTTAAACAGTCCCATCTACTACTTGGTTTCTACATGGACTGGCAGAGTTCAGTTGATCAGCATACGACATCCTGAGTTTAGCATATCTCTTACCTCCTATAAGGACTGAACGGTCCCCGCAAATAAGATCACAGCCTTACCCCAACTAGCAGATCTAGCTCTCCAGCCATCTCAATGATATATAACTGTGAGAAATTAATAGAAGAGACTGCTGCAGTGATGCTGTAACTCCCCCAAGAGACTGCTTTGGGGGGGTCTAAGGAATTAGGATAGTAGCTGGAGGAGAGAATCGAACACACTCAAGAAGCCTAAGCAGTCACCTCACGCTTAGGATCTGTCCCAGTGTTCAGGTATTTCTTCGTTCTCTACACTGAAAATGTGCACGAGGTGTGGTGGAATGTTATCCTAAGGTGTGTGACTTTTGTTTGTGCTGCATTTAACTCTGTGAGGCTGTGATTCTTGCCTGTCTAAAACACCTGATGGTCTAATAAAGAGCTGAATGGCCATTGGCTAGGCAGATGCAAGGATAGGAGGGGCTGGCAGACGGAGAGGATAAACAGGGAGAAACGAGGAAGAGGAGCAGCAGCAGGAGAAATGGAGAGGGGGACAGCAGGGGCCAGCCACCCAGCCACTCAGAGGGCCACGGAGTAAGAAGGAAAGTAAGATAAACAGCAGTAAGAAAGATAAAAGCCCAGAGGGAAAAGGTAGATGAGCTAATTTAAGGTAAGAGAAGCAGGCTAGAAACAGGCCAGGGTAAGGCTGGGCATTCACACCTAAGAATAAGACTCTGTGTGTGAGTTATTTGGGAGTAAAAAGCATTTGGCACAATGTAAGTTTTTAATAAACGTACAAAAATTTAAAAACGAAACTGGTAAAATGAGTGCTGCTCTAGCCTGAGAGAAAAGAGTGACAGCAGTTTTCATCAGGACCTCCATGGGAATCCACTCAGGAACAGCACAGGACGGCAGCAGCTCAGGTATCTAATGGAAGCCAAGGACAGGGTCAAGTACAAACACGCTGTCCCTAGATCCATTTCCCCGCGACGGGAAGGGCGTGCCCAGGCTGTGGCTGTCTCTAAAAGTTTTCTTGGTCAAGCGACTTAATCTCTCTGTGTCTGCCCATGTACAAAGAGAGGGCAGGTACCTAAAGACCAGGATCCACCACAGTGCAACAGACACCTCATCAACTTGACTCTTCTTTTACCCACCTCTACAAGTGCATCCAACGTAATTTCTGCCTACTGCTCCATTCCCCCTGACAAATATAAAAAGTGATTTCCATTTTAAAGACCAGCCGTGAAAAACAATGTAATACAGCACTAACTACGCAGATTCAAATTTCCACATTCATTAATTCAACAGACGCTTATTGAGAAGCCACCCTTGCCGGTCGCGGTGTTACAGACGAAGCATCTTCCCTCTCTTAGGGAGCTCACTGTTTAGTGAGGAGATAGTAAGTAAACGATAAATATATAATTTAAAACCATTAACCAGACACCGAGGCACATGTCTAGGAGGTAGACACAAGATGGTCACAGGGATTGGGATAAGTGAGGCCAATTACAGTGGCACATACCTATAACACCTAGGAAGCTACAACGGGAGGATTACCAGTTCAAGGTCAGCCTGGGTTAAAGTGATGATTTTCAAAAACACCGTTTGTGTCACAAAGAAATGACAAGGTGCAGTGATGAGGAATCACTGCCCGGGGCAGGAAGGCAGATTAGTTAGGAAAGGTGACCCAGCGGCCTTCCTGAGGTGGGTAATTAAACCGAAACCTGACCGATAACAGGAAGTTAGACTGTAAAAGGCCAACGGGAGTTCCTGTAGCTACTCAGACCCACGTGCAGAAAGGCAGGCAGCCAGGAGCCAAGTGTTGGGAGGTGGTGGGTGAAAGGTTCAGCAGGTTACAGAGACCACTTGGAATTACGTCCAGCTTCCTGTGGTAGTCTGGGGTCCTCTGAACACGGCCTCCCCACACTTTCCAGCACTGTTACTTTTCCCGTCCCTCTTCCCTCACCAACGCTTTGCACCTGAAGCCCCCCCTTTTTTTTTCTCCTGTCTCTCTGGAGGGCTCTGTCCCAGGATCTTCCCATGGCATCTGGTTAGACAGTCCTGGGGAATCCTATGTCACCTGAGGGAAGAGATTGCTCAACACCGTGCCTTAGGGTCCGTTCTCCCTCTCTGTTTGCTCTCATCCTTTTTCCGTGTCACTACCGTTGTCAACTCCTTCACGGTAGAGTGTGAATCCCCCCACGAGTTTATATCCAGTCACAGTAGAGTGTGAATCCCCCCATGAGTTTATATCCTGTGTGGCTGTGACCCTAGATCCGGGATCAGTAAGTGATAAGATACCCAAAGGATGCTTACCACCTAGAAATAAATAAATAAATAAATAACCTAGATCCGGGATCAGTAAGTGATAGATACTCAAAGGATGCTTACCACCTAAAAATAAATAAATAAATATCCTAGATCCGGGATCAGTAAGTGATACCCAAAGGATACTTAACACCTAAAAATAAATAAATAAATAAAAAATAATGGACAGGTAACACAAGGCAAAGAAAGAACCGATCGCTGCTTGAGACAAACAGATGGTGTCCAGAATAACTAGGCCTGGGATTAAAACGGGGGAGGAGGGGGCTGGACAAAGGCTGGTTTTCCGCCTTCTCCATTGGGTTAGGGGACTGACTCCCTTAGCGAAAGCACCCATTATTCCGGACCATACTCCTATAATCAGCACCCTAGCCCAGGCCCTGGAACAGAGGCTCACAGACGACTGCAGCGTGCGCAGAAAAAAAAAAAAAAAAAAGAAGTCTACGGGTTTTGGTATCAGCCCTCGGCTGGGAAAGGTGAGCGCAGGATGCCCGGTGCAGAGCGCAGAGGCGGGGCCCGCGGCCGCCGCGCCTGCGCAGTCCACTCCCTCCCGCCCTCCGGCGCGCCGGCTCCCCCTCGCGCGCGTGCGCACCGCGCGCTTCCCGCCCCCCGCCAAGATGGCGGCGGCCCCGTAGCGAGTGGGCGGAGTGAGGCTGCCGGAAGCCCGGCTGCCGCCTTCGGGGAGCTTCGGGCGCAGGCCCGGGGAGCCGCGGGCCGAGGCGGGCGCGATGCCGTTCCCGGGGAGCGCGGCCGGCTGCCGCTGAGGAAGGTGGGGGCGAGGAGGAGCTGCCTTGCCAGCGGCCCCCTATGCCCGCCGCCTCGCGCTCGGGGCCGGTCGCCGCGTTGCCCGCCTCGGCGCCACCCGTGACTCTCGGGGCCCCGAGCTCCGGCGGCGGCAGCGGCGGCGGCGGCCGGGACCGAGTCCCGCGGGAAGGGAGGCGCCCGTGCGGCGCCCGTGCTTGCGGCCGCGGAGCGAGCGTCTGGCAGGTGAGTGCGGCTGCGCGCGCCCCCACCCCCGGCGACGACGCCCGGACCCCGGCGGGGACCCCGGCGCTCCCGGCCCTGCCGGTCTCCGGCCTGCGGCGGGCTCGCGGGCTCCCCTTCTTCCCACCCCGCGGCTCGCACGCCCCTCCCTGCGGGCAGCCTTCCGCCCGCTGGCTCGCTCTAGGTGCGCGGGTCTTCCCGTCCTGCTCCGTTCCGGGTCGGCTTCCATGCTTTCCCCTGAAGACCTGCGAGCCCCGGGCGGACGATCTGAGCGCGGCTTCGTGTGCAGGGGCCGCGGGGATCCGGTCCCCTGGGGGTGGGTTAAGTCCTGCTCATGCCTAGTGGAGCCTGCGATGGCAAAATGATCGTTTGCTTCAGAATCATTCATTCTCATTCTCTCTCTCTCTCTCTGTCTCTCTCTGTCTCTCTCTGTCTCTCTCTGTCTCTCTCTGTCTCTCTCTCTCTCTCTCTCTCTCTCTCTCTCTCTCTCTCTCTGTCTCTGTCTCTGTCTCTGTCTCTCTCTCTCTCCGGGGTCTTAGCTTTTGAGACGGGGGCGGGGGGCGTGAGTTTCGTGAAACGTTAGGTTCTGTAAGTCCCTTGGAAGGACTGATGAGTGTTATATTCCTAGAGAGAGAGAGAGAGAGAGAGAGAGAGAGAGAGAGAGAGAGAGAGAGAGAGAGAGCCTTGTGAGTGCAAGATAACCCATGATGGCCCAAGGAAGGGTGAGCGCTCTCTAACTCCTTTATCAGCCTAAAGTGCACGCCGAAGCTTTAGAATCCCCCATGCGCAAGCCCTTTGTTTTTGTTTTTGTGGTTTTTTTTTTTTTTTTAGAAAGAGCGGCTCAGATTTCTTGTATTCTCAGTACTCAGCCCTTACAGCTCTTGATAGTCTCTCTACAATGCGGGCCCCTCAAACTGTATGCAAACCTGTCCTGAGTCGCGTACACGCACCTTGCCTGAGTTTGCAAGTGCAAGCTGCCCCGTCGGGGAGGCAGTGGAGGAAGTCGTCGGCTTCCCTGGCTTCTCCGCTTCCTCTATCCGTCAGGATCCCCAAAGTGGGAGTAAAAACACTTACACTTTGCCCTTCGAGATTGCAGAGGAGTGGGGCTTTGAAAGCTAGTCTGGAAAGCTGGGGCTTTAGCCCAGTGGTGGAGTGCTAGTAAGACCGAGGACATGCTCATTCCCCAGGACCGTAAAACGACACAAACTATGAGCTAAAGTTTTAGACTAGGATTGCCCCCAGTCTTCTGTCTCATGTGTTTGCTGGTAGCCTTCACTCTCCCCCCACTAACGACTGCATGCTCACACAGGTCGTGTTTGTCACTTCTGTGCTTCCATTTGAAGGGACAAGAAGGAAGCTGGGGCTCTCAACCCCAGTGGCTGAGAAAGTCTCAGCTGTGTGAGGCATACTTCCTCCGTTTCCCAGCTTCCCTCCCGCCCACGTTATCTTCTTACTTGCTCACATTTCAGAGAAAGAAATACCTGTCTTTTCAACCCCTCCAGATGAGCCCGTTACCAACCCTTTCCCATCTCTATTCAGAACTACCCTTTAGTACTATTTGGAGCTCTCCTTCAGTCACACCCTCTCTGTCTCTTACATGCATGTTTGTGTTTTCCCCTGAGCTGCCAGAGACAACTCTCAGGGGGGCCATTCTGAAGTCCAAATTTTCCTTCAGAATCCTTTCACCCGAGGACTCTGTGATGTAGCTAGATAAACCCTTCAGTCTTGGTTTTTACTCGTGTTAAAACTGCTTACTGGTGGGTGTGGTCATATCACCCCTTAGACTGTTCTGTATCTATAAAGTAGGATTCAGTGCTTACCTGGCCAGGTGGCTATAGAGGGCGTTAATATGTGTTGAATGTCCATCTAAGTGTCTGGCACATTTTCACTATGAAGTCGCCATGAAATGGAAGACCCTTACCATTTCACTGTTGCTGTGGGGCGGTCAAATGAGTCACCAGGTAAAGGACAACCGAGTTAGATCCCCTGGACCCACATGGTTGAAGGAAATAACCAACCCTCACACTTTGTCTTCTGACCTACACCACACAGAGACACACAATAAATGTAATTTAAAAATACCTTTCCAAAAAAAGTCCCCAGAGAACAATAAGCACCAGGCCTAATGGCAGCTTCTGTGTCATCTTTGGTGTCTGTAGGCAATTTGTAAATTATATAACACTCCATAGTAACCAGTGACATATTCTTGGTGTTCTACACTGTACTTCCTGGTTTCCTGATCCATTGAAAGTTTCTTCAAATGTCCTGTCCTCTCTCAACTTTGTTCTTCCCTTGGTCCTGATACCAGCTAGGCTGCAAATAGGATTTGCAAACCAAGGTGGTGCATTTGTCTCTTGTAATTGGTAGGTGCATACTTAGAAATGGCAGGAAGTGTGGTTTGTTTTCTCAAAGTCCGTTTCTCTTCTGTTTTCTCCGCGTTGTCCTCCTGTCTGAGTTCTTTGCTCAGACTCGCTCCTCTCCTAGTAAGAAGACAGCTATCAATGTTCTTGTTACTGTCTTCCTTTACTGCCAAAGGGAGGGAGAAGGCTTCTCCCCCAGCCTTTCCCTGGAGTCCCCAGCTCTCCTGTGACTGAACAAACAAAAGATCTGTGCAGTTAGATCTGGAGGAGTATCTTTTTGTCTGGGGGTGTAGGTAGGAGTGAATCCTATCTAAAGTTCAGGACTGTAGCCCAGCATGGGTGTGTATGTGAAGTGGGTCCCAGAAAGGTATCTAATGCCCTCAAGGCTTGGTATGTTCTTTGGTGTGTTTTCTTGGTGATCATGCACGTTTTTCTTTGTGATATAAGTTATTTTTGTGTGGATGGTTCTGATTTCCCGAGTTCTCCTTCCCATTTCCATGGTTTGCTTAGATGAGCTGCCAAGACTCACAGACAGCCGACTGAACAGTTAGTCCGCATCCACCTGCACAGGCGCTTGTGTGTTTGTGTCCTCTTCCTGACTCCTCTTTTGTAACCACTTTTCTCTCAGTCACCCTGAGTGGAACCTTGTAGTCGTATTGTATCTCAAACGTGTAAGTTAGGCTCCACGTTACAGAATACTGAACTGGCTGACTTGATCAGTATCTCACGTGAAAAAATAGTCGAGGTAGAGGGTTTCTTGGCTAGCTAGTGAATTACCCGCATAGTGAGGTTTTCAGGGATCATCTCTGTAATTGACTAATCTTAGTGTGCTGTCTTAGTTACAGTTTCTATTGCTGTGAAGAGCCACCATGATCACCACAGCTCTTACAAAGGAGAAATATTTCATTGGGGAGATCCGCTTACAGTTGAGAGGTTCAGTCCATTAGGATAATGGTGGACAGCATGGCGGCATGCAGGCAGACATGGTACTGTAGAAGTGGCTGAGAGTCCTACATCTTGCAGGTAACAGGACATGGTCTGAGCATCACACTGAACCATGTTTGAGCAAAAGAGGCGTCAAAGCCCACCCCTACAGTGACACTTTTCCTCCAGCAAGGCCACCCTACTCCAACAGGGCCACTCCCTTTGGGGGCCGTTTTCTTTCTTTCTTTCTTTATTTTTTGGTTTTACGAGACAGGGTTTCTCTATTTTGGAGGCTGTCGGTCCAGCCTGGCCTCGAACTCACAGTGATCCGCCTGCCTCTGCCTCCCGAGTGCTGGGATTAAAGGCGTGCGCCACCAACGCCCGGCTCCGGGGGCCGTTTTCTTTCAAGCACCACATGTAGTGATGTAGCACTAGTTCTAATAGGTCTTAATAAAAACCCAGGGTCAGACATTGGATCAGAGACGCAATGCAGCCAACCGCTAGCTCTTACCTCTCCCTCGGACCAGAGGGGCGATCCTGTCCTCAGACTGCTTCACTCTGACTGCTGCTCAGTCTCCTGTCTCCTCCTGCCTTATCTTCCTCACTCTGACTGCTGCTCAGTCTCCTGTCTCCTCCCATCTTATCCTCCTCTCTCCGCCCAGCCGCATCACTCCTGTCTCCGTCTCCCTGGTGCTGGGATTAAAGGCGTGCAATCCCAAGTGCTAGGATCACCTTTGTGTGAGCGCTGTTTCTCTTTAGACAGATTAACTCTCATGTAGCCCGTGGTGGCCTAGGACTCACAGTCTGCCTCTGTCTCCTGAGTGCTGGGATTTAAAGGTGTGTGCATCCACCGCCTGTCTTCTGTGGGTAACTGGTGTGATTAGCTCTGTGCTCTGATCCTCAGATAAGCTGTATTTGTTAGATCATGAAGTATCACCGCATGCTAACCTTTGAACATATGCATATCCCATTGTGGTTGTACGTGACTCTCTTCCCTCCATTGCTACCAACGATAAGTGTGTCCTCCTGTCTCTTAATTAGGCAAGTAGACCTTTCACAAAAACGTCTGTACAGTCAGGTGTCTGTCCTAATTGTAATAACATTTGGAAAACGCATTTATGGTATGTAAGTTTAAGAAGAGGCTGGAGAGGAAAGTGACATGGTGTCAGTGACATATTTGTGCAGCGTTTTATGGAGAAGTGTGTGTTGCAAAGAGAATTCAGGTAACAGTAGCCAGCATAAATAAAGCACTGTTTGCCTAGGCGTCGTCACAAACCATACCTCGCTTTTTCCAAATACTCTGAAAACCTAAGTAACTATCTAAAGTAGTTTCTTACGTAAAATTTGTGAGATTTGAGTGGTAGGTGAGAACATTGGATTCTTTTAAAGTTGGTATGATATTAAATACTTTTAAGCATACCTGTTGGAGCCTCTGTCTGAACCAGATAGAAACAATTATTATGAAACAGATTCGTAGTTACTTTTCAGAGAAGCATTTGGAAATACAGGAGAACATTTTTGGTTGTCCAGTAACCGTCAAGTCCCACTAGCAATTAGGGTGGTGAGATACACTAAGTAGCCTGTGATGTTTGGAGTGCTCTCTCTAAAAACAAAGAGTCATACCTTAAAACGCCACTCTACAATGATCCATTTATAGTCTTATATTGTAAATGACAGGACAGCAAATTAAAACCGACTTTAAAAAGGCGGTGACTCGGT